GGAGTTAGCAAAAGGAATTAAATTCTTTTTAAACTTCAAAGTCAGAAAGTAGCAAATCCTTATCAACCCCAGAATAGGGATGGCAAAAAAACCTGTCATACTTGATACCCGCAGGACCCACCCCTATCGGAACAGGGATGATCCACTTAATCGGATAATCCGGGGACGAGACGGGGTGGGGAATTCTGCCCCAGGGCTATTATGGGTAACAAGGGCATCGTCTCGTCCCATTTATTTATTTAAGAATTCAATATTTTAAATGAAAAATTTCATGAAATTTCATTAATTCTAATAAAAGATGGAAATTAATATCATCTAAAAAAAATGATAAACAATAAGTATTCTAAAGAGCATAATGCATGATGAGCTTAGGTGAAGCTAGGTGTAAAAAAGCGTAAAAATGTGTTTTCTTATTTTAATATTATTTTAATTTTTAATCAATCAAAAAATTATTTAATCATTAAAAATTATACCTATCAAACATCTAAAATAAATTTATAGGAACTTTATACATTTTTCCAATGTTTCCAACAAAAATGATAAGTTACAAATGTAATACTAAATAGTAAATAGTAGAAATTTTTGGAAGTTTTCTTTTCTTAAAGGCTTCAACGACTTTTTTAAATCTATGTCAGATGAAGTGAAGAAATAAACCTTTTAAGTTTTAACGTCAAAAAATTGTAATTTTATTTTTTTAGAAGATTATAATGCTTGGTGCGCATTAGCGGTCAACGATTGTCGTTGACCTCTAAATAAGGTGCCAAGCCACGTATCACGCCTAAGCAGTGCCTAGGCGTGCTTTTTAGAACACTGCTTATATAAATAGAAGTGGATTAGTGAAAATACACCTAGAAGAACTTATACTGGACATGATATTTGATTGGAGGTTTCACAATCCCAAGAGAACCCAACTGCACAAAAACTAAAAAATTCAATAAACAAAAAACGTAATTTTGCAAACTAAGCCTTATTTGTAACATGAATTGCAAATACAAATTATACTTCTTGGCTAACATTCGGAGACAAGAATGCAAAAGCCATAATTTCCTTTTTTTTACATGGTATCATAATCAAGTAAAAAATGATAGATAGGTAACTCTGGCTTCTGTGAATTCAAAATTTTTAAGGACGAAATCTTCAAGGATTTCTATTGACATTAAATCCAGCATTAGCATCACAATTTCCCTAGTGATACGTAATGTAATGCGCAAATCTGATTGCACCAACTAGAATATGGGGGGTTACTTTCTCAGGCTTACCAAAAATACACAAAAAGGGGCGGGGGGGGGGGGGGGGGTTG